GTATTGTTATAACCCATTCAACTTTCTTTCATTATTGTTTTTATAACATGTCTTTTTTCCATCCTTTTTCTTTAAACCTATTAGAGTATTTGAAATTAAAATGTCTCTTGACAGCAGTTAACCAAATCATTAATTTTTAAAGTACATTCTCCCAATCTCTGCCTTTTACTGGAAGTGTCTAATCTATTTACATTTAATGTAATTACTAATAAAGTAGGACTTAATCTGTCATTTTACTGTTTTTGGTTTTTCCTGGTACACAAAGGTGCTTTACCAGTGAGCCATATCCCCAGCTCTTTTGTTTGTTTTATTTTGAGAAAAGAGTTTTAAAAATAAAGTTGAGACTGGCATCAAACATGTAAGCCTTCTGTCTCAACTTTTCAAGTTGCTAGGATTACAGGTACATACCATTATACCTAGCTTTCTATTAGTTATATATGATTTCTCTATGCCTCCATAACTACTTTCTTTGAGTAAAAATAAATACTTTCTAGTATAATATTGTATTCCCTTTTTTGTTTATTTGTTTGTTTAGTATATTCAGGGTTTTGTTTGTTTTTTGATTTTTTTTGTAGGGCGGTGGTGGTGATTGCTCTGGGAAATGCAATTCATATCTTTATTAACAAAAATTGAGTTTGAATTAATACCAGCTTAATTTGAGTAGTATAGAAAAACTTTGTTCCTACAGGTATTATTTCTTTTCCCCTCCTTTGTGTTATTATTGTCATCCATGTTACATCTTTATAAACATTATATGTTCACCAAGACAGATTCACAATTATTGTTTTATGCATTTACTTGCTAAATTAGATAGGAAAAGTTAGAAACAAAAAATAAACATAATTTTAAGACCAGAAAAATACATTTTTTTACTTCTTATTTTTATTTTTTTTGTGGTTCATATTCTTTTTTTTTTCTTTTTTTTTTTATTGTTGGTCGTTCAAAACATTACATAGTTCTTAATACATCATATTTCACAGTTTGATTCAAGCGGGTTATGAACTCCCAACTTTACCCCGTATACAGATTGCTGTATCACATCATTTACCCTTCCATTGATTGACATATGGCCTTTCTAGTGTCTGATGTATTCTGCTGTCTGTCCTATTCTCTACTATCCCTCCTCCCCTCCCCTTTTCTCTCTCTACCCCTTCTACTGTAAATCATTTCTTCCATTTATATTATCTTGTCTTACCCCTCCTTTCCTCTTATATATCATTTTGTATAACCCTGAGGATCGCCTTCCATTTCCATGCGATTACCCTTCTCACTCCCTTTCCCTCCCACCTCTCATCCCTGTTTAATGTAAATCTTCTTCTCGAGCTCTTCGTCCCTACCCTGACCTTGTTTATATTCTTTATTTCTTTTTTTTTCTTTTTTTAATTTGTTTTAATTAGTTACACATGACAATACAATGATCCAGAAACATACCTTTATACTGTAATTCACTGATGTAGTTACCTTACTTATGCTTCTTATTTCTCCTTGTGGAGTGAAGTTACTGCCTAGTATCTTTTCATTAGGTTAGCTCGACTAGTGATGCATTTTCTGTTTCCTGGGAATTTAATTTTCCTTGTTTTAAACAATAGTTTTGTTGAATATAGAATCATTAACAGTTATTAATAGTTAACAGTTTTTCTTATAGCGCCTGCAGCATGAGTGATGAGAAAGAGAGATGGAGGGACTGAGAAATGAAGGCAAGAGGAAAAGAGAGAGGGGCAGAGGAGACAGAACGAGAGCGCCAACATTCAGTGATATTTCAGTCATTTGTAACCTGATCTTTAAAGTAACCACACTTTTCCACAAATCACCATGGTACAACATGGAGTGGACTACAAAATAATTTAATACAGGAGACACAGGAATTATTTCAAAGCCATCTTGCAGCTGGCTACCACACAGAGCTTGTTAAACTTTTAAAATTATTTAACATTAAAAAATGAAAAGATAAGGCAAAAATAAGTCTCTGTTTTTGAGGGCAGTAGATTCACTTCTGAATGGCAATGCTTGCTCTTTTCTAGCTAAATAAAATATTCCCTCAGTATCCATGGTGGATTGTTTCCTGGAGCACCCCATCAAGCATGTTCGCACGCGCGCGCGCACACACACCATAATCTCTGGATACTCAGTCCCATATATAAAATGGTGTAGTATTCTCATATAATCTATGCGTGTTTCCCCATATTTATCTGACCTTTGTAAAAATGAGTTTAAAATCCCTTACCAAGATCTTAAGTTATCATTTGCTTATTTTAGTCAGGACAATTTGGACTAGTGATGTAGGATACTTACTGATTATTCAGCAGCTGATTAGCATTGTGTTTGTGTGTCTCTCTCTCTTTTAATTTCACATGGGGATTTATTCTGTATTGTAACATAAAAGGTACAAAGAGGAGGTAGGTGAATAGAACAGAGTTTATAAACTTAGCTCTAAACTTAACCCTAAAGTATAACTTTAGTTAAATGATACAAGTTTATGTCTTCATTCCTTATTATGTCTTCATTCCTTTCTGGCAAATTTTATCCTTTTCAATTAGCGAGGTGATAATAATGTTAGTCAATTAATGGCAGGACAGTTAACTAAAATATCTAAAAGCAAAGCCAATGTCTCTTTTAAACACATAATAGAAAGCAAAATTAGGTTTGAAAAAAGAGAGAGAAGAATGTTCATACAAGCCTTTCAAGATTCCTAAAGGTTTATATATTTGGAATTCTTGTGTACAACATGGAAACTTTTTTATTTTGATGATTCACTTTAGTTAAGGTATATATGATAATGCTAACTATTATGGACCAAAAAATATTAAATGGAGTTACCAATTATATCGTTTCCCCAGTTATCCTTAGTTTTACTTACTTGTCATTTTATGATTTAAATAAGATATAATTAAAACTAAAAATAAATAAAATATAACTGCTTAATTTGCATATTTTTGTTTCTCTTGTTCTTTCTACTATGATTCCTGATAGTAGGTAACATCTAATGAACTTTATTATGCCAAATGCATAGTTCAGCATTTTACCTCCAATCTCTTGTGATCCTTACAGCATCCTGTAAGCAAGCGTTTCTATAATTTGAGACAGGGTCTCACTGAGTTGCTTTAGTGATCACTTTTGCTGGCTTTGAAATCACCATCCTCCTTCCTCAGTCTCCTGAGCTGCTGGAATTATAAGCATGCACCACCATGCCCAGCCTGTTATTTTATCTGAATGACTGGAGAAATTAAAACATGGAGGATATATATAAATACCCTGATCATAAAGATGGCTAAGATTGCAACCTGTAGCTAAGGTTTTTATTCCAGTTTCCAAGAGCAAATAGTGGGGGGTTTTCCCATTCAAGTTCTAATTAAAGAATAAAAGTAAAGGCTAAAATGTTACTTTCTCTATAGAACCGGTATCTCTTCTCTCAAATGTTTTTTTTTAATTCAAACTTCTTTGTTTCATTACAGATAAAATATAGAGTTTATTATGTAGTATCTCTAGCAGGTCTGAGAAAGTGCTCTGTGATCAGATTTATTGACATTTCTACAGAACCTTAAATAGACACATATTGATTTAGGTCATGTTTTGCTACCAGATGTGATAGGGAGGCAGGATTGTGTATCTCCTCTCTTCAAAATAATAACATTTTAGAGTCATAGACCTATGGTGATAGATACTAGTTGGAGAACTCCCCTTCAGATCTCTTGGAAAAGTTTTTCTAATACTTAAATGAAACTAGGGAGAGTTGTGCCTCCAGTCTTAGCCAAGGATTAGGAAAGGCCTATTCATATAATACTACTTTGCCTGGATAAGTGGTTAGGTATTTAAGGTTCAGAGAATTAGTATCTCTAGAAATAGGAACACTTAAGCAAATATACCCTTCCCATTTTACCAGTCACTTGACCTCTGAAGGCCAGTATATATAAAGGAATTGGAGTAAAGCTAGCAGTATGTACAAAAAAGCCACCATCATTACCACTGTCAAACAAATCTCTATACTGCTATTATACACTGTGTTTACAAATGCCCTATCATTATCATACAACTTATGTCACACTATCTATCTTTCAGTTGTTTTTGCCCATTATGCAAATTTCAGGCAGAATTATATACCATTGTTGAACTTCTTTATAGTGGGTATCTTATCAAATGATATTTATAGAATTAAGGATTAAGAACCTCAACAATTCTGTCATTTTATAGGGAATCATAGGAGATGCATGCTGAAGTATCTATGAATGAAATGTCCTAATTCCATAGAGTCCCTTCAGTGTCTCTCCAGATTAATAACAGGAAAAAGAAATGAAATGTGATGAATATTAACAATTCTTGAAATTTTATGGAAGCTTTGTCATCATACTATTCAATTTTTTGTGATCAAAACTTTTCTATGTAAAAAAGTTAAAAAATTCTTGAAAAAATTCAGGGTACAGAAATACATATTTAACAAATTTGAAAAACTCAATACAGAGTTTTTTAAATGTTTTCTTAATGCATGTACTCTGTATATTAAATTAAAAATTGCTTGGTGGGCTGGTGATATAACTCAGTGGTAGAGCACTTGCCTAATGTGCATGAAAACCTGGATTCAACCTCAGTGCTACCAAAAATTAAATAAGAGAGAGAGAAAGAATGCTTGGTTATTCATATATATAATTTATATTCACATACTAATAAATATCTAATTATTTATCTAATTATAATATTAATAAATATCTAATATATTTAAATATTAAAATTCTGAAAATAAGTTCTGCTTATGTCTAATTGTCTATCTGTATTTTAGTTTGGTACAGAGAATGTTTATTTGCAAGAATTGAGAAAATATGACATTTTGGGGGGATATGTTATCACAAAAATAAATGAGGCTTCTGTTTCTCAGTCCAGAAACCATTGGCAGTTGAGAACTGTTGCTAAGACTTCTAATATCACTAATTTTGTAATAAAAATAAGTTTAAATGATGGTGGTTTACATTTCCCTTTTTTAATTATTATTGTATTTATTTCTTCCCTAGATCTTCCTCAGAACTGTGATCCTAACATTCCCCTAGTTGCTCAGGAATTAATGAAAAAGATGATACGTCAGTTTGCAATTGAGTACATTTCAAAAAGTGGTAAAATTCAAGAGAATAGAAATGGTTCAATTGGACCAAGTCTCCTATGTAAAAGTATCCAAATGAATCAAGCAGAAAACTCCCTTCAGGAAGAGCAGGAAGGCCCCTTAGACCTCACTGTGAATCGAATGCAAGAACAAACTACTCAGCAAGGTAAGATTTTTGTGTGTGCACAGTATGTAATTTTATGTTTTAATATCCTTAAACATATACATAAGTTTTTGTATTCATAGGGAAATTTATCTTATAAGTAACAATTTGCCTCTGTAATATGGTCTAGAGAAAAAAAGCAAATTTAGAATTTTGTGTTGCATTTTTAATTATTTATAAAAGAAAATTTGAATTGGTCTCATCTCTTTACAATGAAGTATATGGTAAGAAATTCACAATAAACAAACTAAAAGATCCGGGTAAAAAGTTGTTTATAAATTACCTTTAAAATGGGCTGCTCCATCTTTTGTACTTAGTTGAGAAATAAAATAGATGAATTATCTTTTAATTGTTTGTGATGTAACTAGAAAAAGAAGAAACAGTATATGTGACAAAGATAATGTAATCATGTACTGAATTGTATAGGGACAGATTTTTCAGAAGCCTGAATGATGAAGGCCATATTAAACTCATATTTTACTGAGTTTAATTAAAGGAGAACCTTGAGTTAACAGAGGAAAGTCAAGAAGAGCCTTTTGAAGTGTGAGGGAATGTTATCAAATAAATACTTGTGTGGAGATGAGAGAACAAGTAGCTTTTGTTAACCTGGGCTAAAGATTATGTCTTGGAAGCGATAAAAACATTAACATTAAATTTGATCATTGAAAACAGTGGTGTTATTTCAGGACTCTCAAAAGAAAGTACAGAAATCAGTATAGATATGGAAGGGATAGAGTTTTCAGGTTTTAAGTCAGATTAAGATTGAGAGGGACTGAAATATGGATATAATTTTCCCTTGTTTTGAAATATGGATTTAATTTTTTCTGATTTATGTTATATGAGTTTATTTGAAAATATTTGAGAAACATTAAGATGATAATTATGTTGTTAAGACAAAAGAAATGTCAAAGGTAACTATGATATAAGGCTTAACAAAAAATATATTGGTACATAGAATTTTGGACATTGGAAAGCAGAGCATTTTTAAAATATTTATTTGCAATGCATGTTTTATACTCCTTTATATCACCTCCTCTTTTAGGGAGGCAGTTTAAAATTCTCAAGATGTGAGAACATAGACTTGAGCTTATGACAGACTTGTGATTGAAATCTCAGCTATACTATTTAAATTCCTTTTACAAGTACTTACCTATCAGTGCTTTAATTTCTCACTTTTAATTTGCCTATGCTAACAATGAATTTGCTGGAGCAATGTGAGAAGTAAATAAAAATTAAACTCACAGATGGGCAACACTAATCTCTCCATATTCTCCACCTCCCATTCTTTACCACCACAGAAGAGAAGCCTTAGAAGTAACATGGTAGTGAGCTGTAAATATTTATATAGCTGTTACATTGAACAGGACTGAGCTTTTTCTACATGGTTCAGGAATTAGAATTAGGAAAATTAGCTGTAAATTAGAGGGAAATATTTCAGGTGAATGAAAGGAAGATTATTTCTGAGGATTAGGTATTTCTCAAAGAAGAAAAAGGACATGATTCCTTTATTGCCTTGTCTTTGGAGGTATTCAGAAGCATCTGATAAGTGTCTAAAATAGGTGTTACATTTTAAAATTAAATTTTTAAAATTTTTAGCCTTCAGATTCTATTATTCTAATAAACATAAGAGGTAAGACAGATCCAAGCATATACAGAAAATAACATAAAACGTTTAAACTATTGTCATATTCTAGGCAAAATATACAGATATATGAATACAAATTGAAGTTGTAAAAGTAATGATAGTTATAAATCTAAAACCAGTCTTCTTGATACTTTAAATACTTGAGTAACTTCTTGATGTGATTTCCTTTTTCTTTAGGACAAAAATCATTTAGTGTGATTATTAGCATAGAGAACAAGGGGGTATAGCGACAGATGAAATGAAGGAAATAAGTGGGGACCGGATTATGAAGAAGCCATAAAATATTGAAGATTTTGACTTTGCATGGGGGCCATGAAAAAATGCTTGACCATTTGGAGTGGAGAGTGACACTATCAGATTTTCTTTTATAAAACCGTTTTACCATGGTATGGATTAGTAGTTTCTCAAATGTGTCTACTTGCATACAAAAAAGAAAAACTGAATCTGCATACTTCCGATGAATGTGTATGTGTTTGTGTGTCTGTGTCTACTGATAAATTAGATGTACTGATGTTTCTACAAATTAAAACACTTTTAAGATTGAAATGAAGATGTTATAAACAAAATTTTTAATGTCTTGCTAATCGTTATGACTGACTGACTTACTTACCTGTGTCTTATTGCATAATACGTACTTCAGGATTCATTAGCAATGATAGAAAGTATAAATCCATTTTCAAGTAGATTCCTTAAGAATTGGAAGTTTTATTGGCTCTTTTTTACTGTTCTTAAGAGTTTGCTTAATAAGGTTCTCATACAGGTAGTGATACCACTTCCTTTTCATTGTGGCCGTTTGCTATTGCTTAACATTTTTCCAAAATGAACGATTATACACTGGGAAGACTGGAATATGGACATTTACTCTTAATGTGCTTACAAATTCATTGTCATTCCAGACAAAATTCTTATAGGTTTTATTGTTAAATACGGCTTGTTGAACTTGAAATTTACAAGCAAAACTTAAAGAATAAAAAAAATAAAATAAAATTGGCAAGGGACTTTCTCTAAAAACATCAAGACTTAAATAATAATTTAAAAGGGGTGCTGTTTGCCAGGATACAAATCAATAAAATAGATTAATTAGCCTAGAAATTCCCCCAAACGTTATTGGACTCTTAATACAACAAGACAGAGATGCCATTGTAAGTTACTGGGAAGGATATACTATTCATTAAACAGCTCTAGGGCAATTGGTTACTCACATGTAGTGGGAGACGAGGAGATGGATCCCCACCTTATTCCACTAACAAAAATATTTCCAGCTTGGTTAAGGGGAGAGTAAAAAATAAAATGTGGGAAGAGTGAAAAATAAAACTAAGAGAGGAAAAAAATTTATAATACTTTAATGAGCTCAAAACAGTAAAGAAGATGCAAGAATCACAATCCATATATATTTGACTGTCCTGAAATTCAAAAGTTAAAAGTGTTATAGAATTCACTAAAGAGAATGAAGTGTTAAGCTTTATCTATAACTGATTTTAAAAAAAAAAAATTGGCAAGCATTCAATTTAAGAAAAAAAAAAACCTGAACCAATGGGAAAAATATGCAGACACAATTCTCAGGAGATATTAGAATAGACAACTAAGCAAAGAAAAAGGTGCTTGAAAGAATATTTTGCCCTCATTCCCAATATAGAATTTTTAAATTTTGTGGTAGAAGAATATTTAAACCTCTGATTGACTACAAATCCTTGCCACAGAACCTTTGACTGCTTCATTACACTCATATCTGAAACAAACCCATTGTTTTATGTTTCTTTCATCTGCAACATTTTGTTACCAATATTTACAGTAGTATATCTACCTGGGCACCACAGGATACTTGAGAGGCTGAGGCAGTAGTATCACAAGTTCAAGGCCCAGTCTGGGCAACTTAGTAAGACCCTGTCTCATAATAAAAAGGACAGTGGGCCTTGACATGTAGTTCAGTGGTAGAGTGCTTGCCTAGCATGTGAAAAATAAATCCCCAGTACTGTCATAGAGAGAGACTTTTAAAAAAGAACAAAAAAAAAAAGGATTTTATTTCCAAAACTTTTCTTTTCCATGCTAGCACTTTGGAAAATGTCTCATATCCTAAACTTCAGGATCCAGTTCCTTCCTACCTATGTAGTCCCATCGTGTGTGTTTGTGCGTGTATGTGGTGTGTGTGTGTGTGTGTGTCTGTATGTCTGTGTCTCTGTTTTGTCTTTGTACTGGCTTTTTCTCAGTTTCTTGAGTAAGTCCTACCCTCTCATTACCACATGTTGGTACCTAACTGCAAAAAGAAAAGAAATGTAATCTTTCCAGTGTGTATCAATTGGATTTTTCTTTTTTCTTTTGCAAAGAACATCATTACAAAAAGGCATGTCCTTTAATAAATTCTCAAGGCTCATAAAATGTTACTTAATTAAGTAAACCAGGTATATAAAGCAAAAAAGAAGATAAATTAATGTCTTTTGTACCCATTCCATTTTTTCCCAGAAAATTTGTATAATTTAATATAAAATTGGCTACTAACCACAGTTCACAAGTGAGAATCCACTGTTTTCTGCTTTTCCTTTATAGTTTCACGTGGTCTTTCCCCAAGGAGATAACTTTCGTATTTACCTTAATATGACTTTAAGTTATAAGTATGCCACATGGTATTCTCTAGTTCAGGATGAATAAAGAAAAGCTGCTATTTTGTCACATTTTTTCTCCTATTAATTTTAACTGATATATAAAAGCAAAAATTGTACATATTAATGGAGTGTCATGCTTGTTTGGCTTGTTGCTTTTCATCATTTTTATCTTGGCTAAACCATGACTTTAACAATGAGAGAATGATAAATTCCAATACATAAAAAATGAGAAGCTTGGGTTCAACAGAGAAGAAACTATCATTAGAAAAATCAAAAGACAATGGCAGCATGTGAAAAATCTATTTTCAATTTATATTATAAAATGAAAGACCAATAGCCTTAATATTAAGAGTTCCAAAACACTGAATAGTAAAAATCAACAACTTGACAGAAAAAATGGTCATAATTATAGTTTAGTTCATTTAACAAGATAATCTAAAAGCCTTTAAACATAGGTAAGTAGACTAATTATCCTCTTACGTGGTTCACCTCTATCAAACTGATATCAAGTTTAAAAATACTCTATTCAGGCTGTTTTAAAAAGCAGACATTCTCATGCATTACTAGTGAGAATATAAACTGATATTGTATCCTTTGATGTTGTACCTTTTGATCCAGCAATTGTATTTCATACAGTCAAGCCAATAATTAATTATACCTGCACCACAAATATGACATGATATACCTTAAGATTATTCACTGAGACATTATAAATTTATAATAGCAAATTATTAGACATAATACAATTATCTACCAGT